TTTATAACCAAGTGTGGAAAAAATTATCATTTTAACGGACAATTTTGATACAAACGAAGGCCAAACGAATACAAAATTTAAAAATTTTCCGGATTGAAAATTATACTAATCAAATACACTAAATTAACAATTCCCTGGAAAACAATTTCTAGGCAATTACTTTCCCTTGAATTTTACACCATTTCAATCAAACGGACCCTAAGTTCTTTGTACTTTGCCCAAGTTCTTCACTTCAAAATTATTTCCTACAAATATTAAGCCCCTGTTAGGTGGCTTTAAATTAAAAACATAATTTTGAATAGTATGTTTTGGAGAACATGTGGTTGAAAATGAGGAAAAAGTTATGGATTTACTTGTAGAATATTTTACTGCACGAATGTGATTGAAAATGATTATGTAGCAAAAATTAAGCCCTTGTTGGAGCTCCATTTTGGAAGAAATAATGTATTTTGGAATAGTAGATTGATGGAGAATATGTGGTTAAAAATGAAAGAAAAATTTTGAATTTATGTGTAATATTATTTTATTGAAAAATGTGTGGTTAAAAAAGAGTTTTGAAAAATGAATTTTAAAAAAATGGGATCAAACAAGGGCTAAATTAAATTAAGTGTAAGTAGCACAAAACGTTCCTACCTTTCAAGTTCATCGTGAAAAAATGTCATTACCTTTCATTTTTTTTTGACATTTTCGCCATTATTTTCCCTTTGCAAAGAACGTTTTTCCGTCCACTATCTGTCAGTTTTTCTGTTAATTAAATAAAAAAATGTTTTTTCTTTTCAATCAATAAGGGTAAAATAGTCCTAACCCCTTCATCTCCTCTTACGCGCGAACATTCTATTATGATTTTCTTCTTCAAAAATTCCCATCTTTCTTCCATTTCTACAATTGTTCCTCCTTTCTCCTCCCATATGCTCTCATCTCATCTCGTGGGTGCACAATGGAAGCACGCATTGAGGGTTTTTTTATCAAGTGAAGGTAAGAAACATTATATGTTAGGTATTTTGTTTTCCATTTCGTATTTTGGTTTTTGGCATGATTGAGAGTCTGCGTGGAGTTTTGATACGGTCTATTGTTACGCAGACCTTCGAGGAGCAACATGTTTCTTCCGTTTTTGAGAATCCTTGTAATGACCCGGGTCCCACTTAGCGGGCTATCCCGGCCGTTAGATCGACGACGTACTGTCCTCACTGTACCAACTTGGGTCTTTTCAGCATGCTTTATCCTCACTCGCACGCTCCCCGAGAAAACTTCCTAGGGGGTCACCCATCATAGAATTATTCCAAGTCAAGCACGCTTAACTGTGGAGTTTCTAACGATGGACTTTCGGAAAAGAAGGTGCACCTTATTGGTATGAGTAGTACCTATCAAATCTTTTAAACTTTCCTGATCTGGGTATTACAATCCTGGCGATGATTGACCTAGTATTGGTATGTGTTCATTCACTAAATTTTATGTGAACTCGTCTAATTCCACTGTGCATTCGCACAATTTCATTGTACAATTCCCCAATTTATGTCCACTTTAGTATGGTGCACTCGATGTTTCTATGTCACTGTACATATTTCACTTTGGCGTGAATTTTGTGTTCATTTCAGTGTTGATGTGAATTTTCTCAATGTCCATGTCGATGTCGTTCTCAATGCTTGAAAATCCCCAATTCGTTGGTCGATTTTGATGTGAACTTTTTACTATTGCATGCGGGTGGTGATTCTCAATATTTCACTATCGAAGTACAATATTGAGGCCAATTTTATGATAAGCCAAACAATGTAGCGTACGACGGGGGATTTGTTCTTTTCGTCGACTTCTTTATGGTAAATGGTGCACTAGAGAGAATTTGCGTAAATTCTTATACGGAACTTATGATGAAAGGGTATTGGCGTTTTACTATAAGGGTCTGTATGATTGCAAATGTGAAAAATGGGTGGAAAGAAAATGTTTTACAGGGAATTGATTTGCGTAGAAATTATTTTACTGAGAATTGTAATTAATTGTGTTTGATTGATATAATTTTTCATGGAAAATGTTGAAAGTTTGGTGTCTGTTTGGCTTCATTTTTTATGAAAATTTTCTATTAAAGTGATAATATTTTCTACCATTTGGTCTAAAATTTGTTCCAATTGCCAAAAAAAAAATTGAAAAAAAAAAAATCATACCGAATACCATTCGTTAGGCTTTGTTTTGCTAGGAAATTGTCAATAAAATTGATTTTTTTTTTTTTTACCATCGTGTCTAAAATTTTTTCCATTTGCCAAAATATCAAGAATTTATTTTCCTCAAAAAGATGGAAAATTTGGAAAGTTGAAAAAAAAAATTTCTTGAAAAATTGTCTATCAAACACTACAAAATTTGGAAAACGGAAAAAATTTTCCCATTTTCCATGAAAAATGTGTGTTATCAAATGGAGCCTAAGAATCAAAAAATGAGTTTAGGGAAGGGGTTGACGAGATTAGAGAGTGAAGAGAATATAAAGGAAATGTTTAGGGACAGTGATGGACATCCAATGTGAAAATATATGTTGTAGCCCGAATGCAATCATATGCATTGCTATTGCATCATTGGTCTTCACAAGTTGATGAAGACCAAACATTTAAAGGTTGTCACGTACCTTCAGTTGTAGGAAATGAAGGATGGGAGCCTGAAGGCAANAAAATCATACCGAATACCATTCGTTAGGCTTTGTTTTGCTAGGAAATTGTCAATAAAATTGATTTTTTTTTTTTTTACCATCGTGTCTAAAATTTTTTCCATTTGCCAAAATATCAAGAATTTATTTTCCTCAAAAAGATGGAAAATTTGGAAAGTTGAAAAAAAAAATTTCTTGAAAAATTGTCTATCAAACACTACAAAATTTGGAAAACGGAAAAAATTTTCCCATTTTCCATGAAAAATGTGTGTTATCAAATGGAGCCTAAGAATCAAAAAATGAGTTTAGGGAAGGGGTTGACGAGATTAGAGAGTGAAGAGAATATAAAGGAAATGTTTAGGGACAGTGATGGACATCCAATGTGAAAATATATGTTGTAGCCCGAATGCAATCATATGCATTGCTATTGCATCATTGGTCTTCACAAGTTGATGAAGACCAAACATTTAAAGGTTGTCACGTACCTTCAGTTGTAGGAAATGAAGGATGGGAGCCTGAAGGCAAGTTGATGAAGACCAAACATTTAAAGGTCGTTATGTACCTTCAGTTGCAGAAAATGAAGGATGGGAGATTGAAGGTAATTGGTCAGATCAATTTTTGCGAGAGAATGCTACGAGTTGTGATCATAATACAAGTAAACCTTACAATACGAGAATGAGGAAGATACAAATGTCGGTGACTTGAGTGCGGAAGAAGAACAAGTTGTGGTTGAAGATCAAAACGAAGAACTAAGGGGGGAAGAGAAAGTCGAATGTTTGGTGGAATTCGATTATGAGATGGAAAAGGTGCCTATAGCTACTGTTGAAGTTGGGAGTGAAATGGTTAATTTTGATTTAGTTTTGTGTATCAGATGAGCAGCAGGTTAGGGATTCGGATACCGACTATGGGGACACCGATGATTTACGAAGCATTCATAGTGAAGATGAAGACAATAAACCTTCAAGAAGGAGGGCTTCTGGTGATGCTTTCAATGTGGTGACAGATATGGAGGATTCAATGTTGGAGGTGGGATGAAGAGGTTGAATGAATTACGACTATTTTACCCATGTTTATTTAAATGAAAACAACATTTTTGTATTTAATTAAAGGAGGAACTAATGAATAGTTGACGGAAGAACGTTCTTAGCAAAGAAATTTGGAAATAAGGGCGAAAATGCCAAAAAATGAAATGTAAGTACGTTTTCCACAATGAACTTGAAATGTATGGACGTTTTGTGCTAATTACTCTTAAATTAAAAGTTGTCAAACATGGACTAAAAGAGACAGTTGCACATCCACTATTCATCCCACGTCACTGTTCATATGACATCGCTATTGATGTCATGCTAATGTCATGATTTTTACCATGTTCCCTCTAACAAAATCCATAATTTGCTCTCGATTAAAAGCGAGTCCAACGCAAGCTCTGAGAGCGTGTGGATCCAGTTAAATGGCGATTTTACATATATATACGATCTTACTCTTTGTCGAAATATTAATAATGAGATATACAGTTTTATGTTTATTTCCAGTTTACCATTCAATTGCATTGATATATGTATATATATTTTCTAGTACGCGTGTGCTTCTATGATGTATCTATGAATGATACAAGGAAGAAATTAAAGTTAGTCGTGAAAGGCATTCAACTTTCTCCGTGATGCAAAAATACGTGGATATGAATTATAAGCTTAAGAAAGTATTAATGAAGTCCGTATTTTGTATTTTGCTCTTTTACAGAATCTTTTTTTTTCTTTCATTTCATTATCTATATTGCATTTCTTGGTCTTCTAATGGTTCCTTATGTTAATCGAACATCTGTTGACCTTTTATTTTCTAAAAATAGGCACATAAAATATTTCCAATGTATATCCAAGCCAAGTAATCCCCGTTCCCTCTAACATAAACCATAATTTGCTCTTGGTTATAAGCAAGTCCAACGCAATCCCTAACAACGCACGCGTCCGTGTGAAGAATGAAAAATATAATAGCCATTTTACATATGTATGATCTTACTCCGTGTCAAAATATTAAGCTAGTGTTTGTCCCCCGTTAATTTTTTCAAAATTTTCTTTTTTTAAATTTTAACCATATATTCTCCAAATAAAATAATATTAAACACAAATTTAAAACTTTCTATTATTTTTCAACCACACATTGGGTGATGAACAGTGCCATCTCTTAGTGAAAATTCTTGCATCAAATTTAGCCATGTGACACCTGAAATTCCTTTCATTAGCTTCTTTATTTGATACATTATGGGTTCCACAACGTTTATCAAAATTTACTATAAATTTGATCTTAATTCGCCACCGAACAAGTGCTAAAAATATGGTTTCTTAAAAGTTTTTGTATTTTTCATTAAATTCCCTTAACTTCTTAAGAAATGTTAAAATATGTTTGGCAACAAATTCGATGAATTAGTTTATTAACTTTATTCTTTAAATGAAATTTAACGAATTTCATATGAACCAAAATTAATATGAGTTTCAACTCTTTGAACATCTCTATAATTCGATATTTAGCGTTCAAAGTCAAATTGTTCATATCAATTTCCTAATTCGTTACTAGATGTATTAAGTTTTTGTGCAATATGAAATAATATTTTTTTTCTCCTGATTTCTTTTCATTTGTCTTCCTTTTGTTACTTATTTTTTCGAAAAAAATATATATTGAAGATGGGTTCTTAATTGTTTATTGAGGACTTAAGTGCTATCAAATGGAAAGATTAAAGACTTAAACGCTCATTATAGAAGATTGGAGATCCTTATGCTATATTAGTATAACATTGGGGACCTGTGTTGATATTTTTCCTATTTCTTTTTCATCCTAATTGTGGAGAAAAAATAGGAAATAATAGAATTAGTATTAGAACCGTTTTATTAGTGAAAGAACTGTTCAACAGCATTATTTCCCGGGTGAATAATACAATTTCCCCTCGCGAATCTCTGTCTGTTCATTCCCATTCTCCAGATTTCCCTTTTCAAATTAGGGTTAGAGTTCTCTGATTGTGACAGATTTATTAGTAAGTACATATATTTACATATACTGAATTAGTATCGTTATATCATTAGCTGTTATGGAGAAGATCTGAACATTCGGGCAGAGAAGGGGAACTTGCAAACAATGAGCGCTTCCAGATTCATAAAGTGTGTCACTGTGGGTGATGGTGCAGTTGGCAAGACATGTCTCTTGATTTCTTATACCAGTAATACCTTTCCCACGGTCTGTCCTATTTTTTATTTGTTGTGATTCTATTTCTCTATTCATAGGATGAATTTTCATAATTGGTTTATTGAAATTAATTGCAAAGTTTGGATTTTGTGTTTTTTTTTCTTTGAAAATGATTGAAGGGTTATTTATCTCGAGGATATTACACCACTCGAGTTTTTTTCGTGGATCAGTTACTGAATGGTATCACCAGAAAAGGAAACTGTCTTTGAAAATGCACACACAATATTATATACCTCTTCCTGTGATGTATCCTTAAAGCCCTCTTATATTTAAGATTTTTTTTTTTTTTTTTGAGAATTTATGTGGGAACAGACGCCAAATGTTGCAGTTTACTGTATGTATGGTTAAGATGGAATTATTATCACCCACATTGTAAGAATTAGGTGCAGATTTATTGTTTCTGCCATATGCCATTTATCATGCTCTGAACCTGTTATTTATAATTTGATGCATGTTGGATACAATTTGTTCTTTTCTTTCTCAAATTGATTACATGTTTTATTGTTTTATTTTCCTTTATCAAATGAATCAGGACTATGTGCCTACTGTGTTCGATAATTTCAGTGCGAATGTGGTGGTCAATGGTGCCACTGTTAATCTTGGCCTGTGGGATACTGCTGGTAAACACTAGAAAAATCTTTCATGACATTAGTAATTTTGAAGCTTTACACAAACACAGCCACAGATGGCATGAATTTCTCTATGATTCTGCACTTGTTTTTTTGGAACAGGGCAGGAGGACTATAATAGATTAAGACCTTTGAGCTATCGCGGGGCTGATGTTTTCATTTTGGCATTTTCTCTCATCAGCAAGGCAAGCTATGAAAATGTTTCCAAAAAGGTGTGACTTTGACTACTCATAATGTGTTTTTCTTTGTATACATTGGACTTTCTAGGATTATCTACAACTGTTTCTTTTGGCTTGATAAATTATTTCTGCTTTGGCTCATTTTCCCAGTGGATCCCTGAATTGAAGCATTATGCCCCTGGCGTTCCTATAGTTCTTGTTGGCACAAAACTTGGTGAGATATTTGATTGAATTTCTTTTCATGCTTTCTGTAAACCAGATTCTTATCTCTACATGATTTGTTTACGAGACTGCTTCTGCATATCATATTATTCAGTACTGAAGTGACCCATTTTTATATGGTGAAAATTAGATGTACCGAACATCTCAAACGATGACAAAAACAACAAAATGAATAATAATATAAATTTGAACGAATGGAATAAAAACTAATCTTCTCACTCTATCTGCTCAAGTTTCATGGTGCAAATAATACCTCCTTCATGCTACCATTTGATAAAATATCTATTGATGCTTTCTTTGGTCAAGCTGAGCAGGGTTATGAGCAATATAATGGTGGCCTTATTATCCCAATCTAGTTTCATAGGATTTAACAAGAAGCAGTCACGTAAACTGGCTCATGAAACTTAATGTAAAGGCTAAATCTTGTCGTGTGTGAGACAAGTAGATTAACTTCCCAACTACCTTTGATATCACCCTTCCCCAGCTCTTAAAGTTTTGGTGTGCATATTATTCATGATTTGTTAATTAGAAGGATCCAGTTATCCATAATTTACGATAATCGTGGATTCAGATCTTCGGGATGACAAACAGTTTTCCGTCGACCATCCAGGTGCTGTACCAATCACTACAGCTCAGGTGAATACTGCATAATTTGTTCATTTCATTCAATAATAACAGAGTTCGGTTTATACTTATCGAATTTTCATTCCCCCAAAGTTGTCGACTTTTTACTTCCGTTTTGCAACTTCCAGGGGGAGGAGCTGAGAAAATTGATTGGCTCTCCTGCTTACATTGAATGTAGTTCGAAATCACAGGAGGTGTATATCATTTCCCCCCTTTTTTCTCTTGATGACTTTTTGTCAAGATTCTTACTGAAATATTTCCTTACTGCAGAATGTGAAAGGAGTTTTTGATGCTGCCATTAAAGTTGTGCTCCAGCCACCCAAGCAGAAAAAAAAGAAAGGAATGGCTCAAAAGGCCTGCTCCATATTATGATCAGCAATAGGTGCGAGCGAGGATATATAGTCTGCCAACCATTATTATACCCTCCCTTTACGTTCCTCTCAGTTCTTCTCCCCTCGTAGAAAATAGGAGGTCTTTCGATCATGGCTGGTGGCTTGAATCTCTAATTGTTGTAGGCTTCTTCTTTGCGCTATCACGTTTTAATTCTTGTTTTTTGATTCATTAATAGACGTGATCATAAATTTGCTTTACAATGTTGTCTAAAGTTAATGTCTTATATAATGCCTTAACCTTAATTTTCTTAATGTTTCATCTGATGTGATAACCTCATTGTATTTGTGTGATTTAACGTAGGCGCTACCAAATCGCAGTATAAATCTTGACAATGGTGAAGCGAAGCAGCTAAACTTGATTATACAAATCCATTTAAAACTCGTATTAAAGCATACCCAAATAATGAGTCGAGTGCTTGAAAATATGGGAAATGGCTTAGTTATTACCAGTTCCTTGAATATAACCTAGGTAGGTGATATATTTGGGAAAAATTAGTGATTTGTGTAAATAATATATAAATTCAAGTAAGCCATGTCCCTCAATATGAATGTTTGCTTGATTGTTTTTAATTCTAATATCAAACCAAATTTAATTATGGCTAAATATCGAAGTTCTAAAAGGTAAAGAGGCATGACTAATTTTTTAACAGTGCGTTGCCCTTTGTGGGATACTACAAAAGAATATATGTACTCTATGTCTTCTACATAAATAAAACGTAGTAATCTGAATTCTAAATTCTAAACATGGGCAGGTCAAAAATGAAATCATGAACCGTACAAAAAACATAAATACGGGAAAAAAATATATTACTAATCTCTTCCATCTCAATTCTCACCCATAAACAACAAACCTGCCAATAAAAAACTGAAAAAAATAATGAAAAATAAAATCACGAAGCAAACACAACATAAATACGTTTGCGTGCGATTTGTATGTATTCAATTGTGATCCGTAAATATTGTATATTTAATTGTGTAATAATTATAAATATTGCAAAAAAATGTAAATATTGGTCATTTATATGTTTAATTAATTGAGAAATAATTGTAAATTAATGTAAATTGTTCATTTAATTGTGATCCGTAAATTGTTCATTTAATTGTAAAAAAAAATGTATATATTGTTCACATTTAATAGCGATACGATTACACATCCGTCTAATTGTTATTTAAGGGAAATTGACTTGTACAAAATTGATGAGTATGTCATGTTGCTCTGCACCTGTAGCACTTATGTGGTGGAGGAAACTCTCCGATGAGTGATATTCTAATCGTACGTGAATGTCCAAGACCAAAAGGTTCAACTTCGGGTGTCAACAAACTATTAGATGGGAGAATATGGTCGGGAACTTCCCACTCGACGTCATTCAGTAAAGGAAATATGGTCTCAGTATATGCTGATCTTCAATAATCAGCCGTGTAATAAGAAGAGTATAAGGTTCTCGCTACAAAGTCTCTCCAATATAATTTATTTCCTATTTCAACCATGAACTCATTACATTTTTCAACACTATAAGTTTCTGCCGCTTTTCTGAACAATGAAATGATATCTTTGCCCCAATACCTAGTTTTCAGGTTGCTTTGTACATGATACATGTAATACCCATGATGTGTCTCGAGAAAAATTTCAGCGATACCATTTATTATAGACAGTCCCCGATCAATTACAAAGGCAATGTCATCAACTTCCCTAATTACTCCCCTCAACTTTGTGAAGAATTAACGTATCGATATATCATTCTCGCTATCAACTATGCTGAATGCAAGAGGGTAAATTTGGATGTTGGTATTTTGACATGTAGCAATAATCAACTTGCCTTCGTATCTAACTTTCAGAGTTGTACCATCAACTAGAATTAGGGATCGCATAGAATTTTGAAATCTCCGAATGCATTGTTCAAGAATCATGAATAAAAACTTAAAGCAATTATCGCCCCCACCATTTCAATAAAAAATGTCGAGTCAGGATTAGTTTTCCCCATTTTATGGCAACACCTGACCAATTTAGCACAACTCTCCTCGGTCGAGCCCATTAAATCCTCAAATGTGCATTCTTTGGCCTTCCAGGCTTCGGCAGCTCATGACCACTCAGTATTCTCGATGGGAGTCATTAATGATGTTCAAAGATTTGTAGATCGTCTGTGGGTCTTGATACTTGTAAATTATCTATCGACCAATAAATCATGTTCGGGCTTGCCTGTGATCATTTTGACAAATTTTCACTTAACAAGTATGTTCCAGTGTATACTTATGAACTATCTTCACTGTGTTCCAAAAATTATTGGCATTGTGATCTCATTCATCCAAATCTTCATGTTCATCTTCGGGGACACTCTTCCTCACTCAAGTCGTGCAAAAAGGATTAGTGTGCATTTTGTTCAATTTCAATATATAATTCACTTCAACATTTGAAATAACCTTCAAATGTAGAATCAGAATGGATGAATGCTCGTTGAATAAATGCTCGTTGAATTGAAATTTCAGTTCCATATCGTATTGAGAGAGATTGACTTTTAGCTTATTTTGTAAATTATAGTACATTTCCGCATATGATGTATTTGATGTTATGGAAATTGGAATACTATCGCATATATCACTCGCCTATTTTCGTACACATCGATATTTTTCATCCAATCGAAATCACTAAAGTAACAAATCGGAATTATAACTATATTTTCATGACGAAACAAAATTTTTAATTATAATAAAAAATAGTTGAAAAATCTGTTCAACCACTAGGCAACAGAGTTTTATTTAAAAAAAAAAAAGTCGAACCAATTGTTAACAATTGGCCCAACCAGCTAGCTGTTAACAGCCGATTGCCTAAGGTTGTAAACAAACAGCTATCAAGGATGGCTGAAATAGTATATTGCTATGAATCTCGTCTGAAATTTTTTTTGTCTGTGTTGGAATAAAAAGATAAGAAATGTTACTTGGTTTTGAAATTTTAAGTGTGAAGTATTTGATTTTTACTTGTTAACTAAAAGGGTAGTATTGTCTTTTAAATAAAATAATATTTTGTAATTGTATAACATATTTAAGGGCATATTTGTCTTTTAACATCAAAAAGGCCAATGTGGAAATATGCAATTTTTGAAAAATTAAAGTAGAAATTAGGGGGTTTGATCAACTCAATTTTAAAAGTACTCATTGCCTCTTCCTCTAAACCTAGGTACAAATAATACAGATGGATTTTTGAGGCTTTGGACAGATTTTAGGCTGGATTTAAGTGGAAATTACAACCATCCAAAATTTTTAAAATTCAATTTCAAAAATCAGATTTAAAGTTTGTTATTCAGAAATTAGATATTAATTCAAAATTTTAGTATTAATAATTATATTACAAAATCAAATTAATAACCACCCAATCAAACCATACATTCAAAACCCTAATAATTTTCACATATGCTCTCTCTCTCTCAACCTTACATCTTCTCTCTCTAACTTCTTCTTTCTCTCATCCATCCATGTATCGCAACCACCATAAACTTTGGCCAGAGACCACCACATATGTCATCGCTACGATGACTCTGCCGTCGCTGCAGTGCGATGTTGTCACCGACGTATTGCCGATGTGAGACACTTCAACAACGACTATTGTGCAATGCGCTCAACGAAGATGTTGCCGCGAAATGCTTGAGCATCACTGCTACAGCGGCGAATGATGGGCTAGCATTGCCGCCGCCAGAGATTTGTTTGGTTTTGTGAGTTTTGATGGTCTCGATTTGGGAATATTTGGTCGCGATCTGGAGCCAAAAAATTTGCAGTAGTTTTGTTGGTTGCGTGAAGTTGTTGGTGGTGGGCATCTAGTGGTTGTGGTGATGGTGGAGCCTGTGATGGTCACGATCCTGGTTGTGCAATTTTTAGGCGGCATTAGTGGTGTCGATTTTGGGCTGCAATAGTTTTGGGAGTGAGAGCCGTTGCTATTGGTGGAAAATGTGTGAAAAATCTAAACTTTTGGTGTCGGAGTTTTTGGGGTAGTTAGTGGTGGTGTGCAGATGGTCGCGTTGTTTGTAGTTGTGGTGGTGATAGCGGTGGCGGTGCTAGTGAAGTAGTGGTTGTGGCGGTCGTGGCAATGACTAATTATTTTGGATTTGATTTTTTAATGGTGTTTGGGTAGTGTTCCTTGTGATATTGACTGCGGTGGTGCTGGTGGTCGGAGGTGATGGCGACAGTAACGGTGACAGTTTGCTGTCGGGAGGTAGTGATGGTGGTGGTTCCTGCGACGGGGTTTCGATTGTCATGCTGTTGGTGGTAGTGGTGAGGTGCTGGTCACAAGTGCGGTTGCTGGTCACATATTATTTGATTGTTTGTCACCATTAAATTCATTAATCTGTGACCGATAAATAATATTCAACTAATGAAAAAGATAAACTGTGACCAAAAACTAAGGTGTGAGCTAAAAAAATGTTAATTTGTGACAGCCTACTAACTTGTAACCTATAATATTTGTGGTTTGTGACCGATATATAAGTTGTGACATATAAAATTTTTTATTTGTGATCGATGAACGAATTGTGACTTATAAAATTTCTGAATTGTGACCGTACAATAATTTGTGAGTTATAAAATTTTTGATTTGTGATCGATGAACAAATTGTGACATATAAAATTTTTGAATCGTGATCGTAAAATAATTTGTGACATGTAAAATTTGTGATTTGTGACAAATTAATAATATGAGACCAATTATATAGAATTTGTGATCAAATTATATGAAATTGTGATCTTAATATATTTAATTAATAAAATATATGTTTAATTAATTAATTTATAAATAAAATTTAAAAAAATCTTACATTATCTCTTAAATTTGAAATTGAGAAAACTTAGGTTCTTAGTTATGTAATCTTCCC